TGCGGGTATGAGTGAAAATGAAAATACTTTTGGGGCCGCAAGCAATATAATGATAGTTTACAGAATGATTGGCTTGCAAAGCCCCTTCCGAGCCAGCCCCTTGGTGGAGATGGATGGAGGGTCGTAATGACAGCTGAGAGAACAATGGAAACAGCTGAACGACATTGAGGCTCTTGTTGTTAATATAGAAAAACAAAATGACGTCACATCCGTAGTACTGCGCATGCCCGGGGTAAATATATTGCAATCTGGGATAGAAAATAGTAACTTGATACAGAGAAGAAATGTGATCGTTCACAGACGATTCTGAATGATAAATGACAACTGGAAATAAATGGAAAAACATTACGTAGGTGACAAATATATACATCTGTTGTGTAGACATCAATGTTAATAACAGGTAAAAGGATATGTTGATCACTGCACAAACAAAAATATAAAATTAACATTTAATGTCAAATCACAAAAAAGCATTTGAATAGCAATAACATTTAACAGGATCATGTATTCTCTTAACAGGATCATGTATTCTCTCAACACCATCGCAAAACATTATGTAGAAGCAACAACAGTACTCATATTTTCCAACAAAATCAAATCTGAAAATGAGACATCAGCAAGCATGGCAAGTACATATAATAAAATGTGTATTAACATTTTTCGTCAGGAAATGAAAAAAATATCTCCTTGTTACCACCTCCAAGTTCAGCTTAACACGGGTCCTTTGGTCAAAAGTTTGTTCACCATGTTATGAGTGTGTCATGCGTTGCACACGAGTGACGAACGGGGGTGATACCCATGTTCAGCGCGTTGCACACGGGTATCACACGCGTGGTGGATGGGTTCCACACGAGTGACCAACCGGGTGCACACGGGTTGCATAACGAGTTGCCCATACATGTAAGGGGAATGAACTTCTAGGCAGTAGTGTATATCGACTGTAACAAATGTTTTATTTTGGATAACACTTTCTTATTTAAGTACAGTTCTTCTCCTTTTTGGGGTTGAGTCCCGTTCGGGATTGTGTGTTCATAGCTTTCGGCCATGGGAGCCTTGCCAGTGGAAAAATCCAATGCCTGCTGTGAACCATGGTGACAACGATAATATGTCCTTAGATTGTGTGTTTCGACTGTGTGCAAAGGGTGTGCTGACAATCATCTTTAGATTTTAGGTTGAGGTAGAAATAGTCTTTTTTAGCCAGGGTCAGTGATGCATGGTCCATACACTTCTTACATTTGCACATCTTCTGTTTCCACAAAAAAAGAGCTGACATTTGCGGCATCATTTTCTTAGGATCCCCCATTGGGGTTCCAGCAAAGAGCTGGGTATTGATGAATGTATTGCTCTTTAATTATCTATGAAATTCCAAATGGGAGCCTTAAAATCCTCCAGAGCTATGATGTACTGGTAGTTATCCATTCCTTGGTTTCTTATAAACTGGAAGAGATCCAACTTTCTTATAAACCGCGCCAACGCAGGTTTGCTTGGCATGTATTAATGCAGAGTTAGCTCCCCTTGAAGGGCTCGCTTGTCTTGGGAGGCTCGCTTGGGTTTCGCGCTCGTTTGGAGGGTTGCCAATAAATGTCATGAAGTGTTTACCTGTGTCCTGTCGATGTGTGACAAGTGTATAGTTCCTCCCAACCTAACTGGCGCCGGAAGAGATCCAACTTTCTTTTAAACCGGAAGAGAACCAACAATTTCCTCAAAATGTGTTTAACTTGTGGTATTTACTCTCGATATACATTCGACTGCTGGGATTAATGTCACTTGTCCAGCACATAACGTATCTGCAACACTTCTTGATTCTGTTGCAAAATCCCTGTTGGAATAGTTGAAGTCCAGAACAACAAGTTTTGGGGAAAATTGAATTTTTGTTGGAAAAGACAGAGTTACAGTTTGACCCGGAAATTCCATTAAATTAGAGACATGGATTGGAAATGCTGTAGGGGCCAAGCTGGAAAAATTTGTTGGGAGCCACGTCTTCTGCCTCAGGAACCTGCTGGTTCAGGATCATATATTTCATATCTAATGAGGCACTGGAAGCTAAGAAACTGGAATCACAATGAGAAAAACATTGCTATCCTTCGGGGATGGAGTAATGTCGGCTTTGCAAACTTCTTCTCACCTGGTGTACCTAGCTTTTCCCCTTAGCCCAAGATTTTACCACGTGTGCAAGGACATCTTTACACAGATCACATCTAGAGTCCATGCCACATGTAATATTTGGGCATTCAGGACTGACAGGATGAGGAATGACATATGGGACCCCACACTTCTGATCATGCCTCAATGTTGACACCATACCTACGCACAATAATATTACACACACTGGAATTTTGATAGTTATGTAAAGGTAAAATCTGAAATAGAGCGTCCAGAAAAGTAATTCAAGAGTCACAGAAACTGAATGAACTTAAAAGATGGCTCCTTTGTCTTTGACAGGGCATTAATAGTCCGACAAACACCACCAAGTGATGATAAAACTTTTTTCCCTTTCATATCCCTTGATGATAAAACAAATTTTTTTTAAATGTTTGTCGGCAGCGGGATTTGCAAATCAAAGGCTTATGAATATATTCTTCTGCCATGGTGACATGGAAGAAACTTTGGGAAATTACAACTAACAGTTACCCCAAGTGCATCACACAGGGCCGCATCACACAGGGCTGACTCACACAGGGTTGATACACACAGGGTTGATACACACGGGGTTGACACACACAGGGTTGAAACATACAGGGCCACACCACACAGGGCCGCATCACACAGGGTTGACACACACAGGGCCACACCACACAGGGCAAACTCACACAAGGCCACATCACACAGTGCATCGAGTTCTTGAATATCTTTTAAAATATGGTAATCAGAACACAGTTGCTTTGACATTTCGAGTGCAAGGATTCTTTTAATGTTGGCCATGTTTTATGTAGGTTAATCCACTCGAACTATGGTGTCTAATCATTGAAATTGTTAGTTAGAGTCCTTGGTGCTCCCCCCCAGACACAAACTATTTCAACAAGTAGACACCAGTTTGTCATGAACTAACCAATACTTACATTCTAAACTTTGAACTTTGGAGCCTTTAGAAAAACATTTCTGGTCTTATTGGCACAAGAGAAAATAATAATGATTTCAGAGTCATTGTTTCCCCTTGCATCCTTGAGCATCTTCTCTACCCGGAGAATAGGACTATTGTGTTCTAGATGTGAAGTTAATGCTAAAATTACATTATTATATTTAGCTACTCAAATAAAGTGAGTGACATTGTTAGGTGTTTGTTATTTAACGTAATGCTAAGCAATATTCCAATCAAGTGATTGATATTATAAGCAACAATCCATGCTGTCATGATATGCTGACACACCACCAACCAAGGCACTGATTCTGACCACCAGATCCAATACATTTCCATTTACAACCAGCATGGGTTCTAACACTGAAGATCCGGGGTAGAATAGGTTTTCAGCAACCTATGCTTGCCGTAAAAGGTTGGTTGGTTGGTTGGTTTGTTGTTTAACTCCGCACTCAGCAATATTCCACTTATATGACGGCGGTCTGTAAATAATTGAGTCTGGACCAGACAATAAAGTGATTGATATCATGAGCATCGATCCACGCTATTGGGATCGATGACATGCATCAACCAAGTCAGCGAGCCTGACCACCCGATCCTGTTAGTCGCCTTTAACGACAAGCATAGTCGACCACTTTCATATAGCTGGAATATTACTGAGTTACAAACTCTGACACTGAATCCCCACAGGTTCCCAAACTAGTCACCTGTACTGGGCCATTTACACCTATCTATATTTTTGTTCCTTTATCCACTTTTGTGGAAAATACACTGGGGCATCTACACCAGATATCTGTATCTTTTGGATATGTGTCCCATATCCATTTGTTTTGTTTTTATCCCAGACCAAGTTTGGTGGATACGGACCTGTGGATGCAATAGACCCTGCTGTCACATTATAATGTGAACCTAATAGAATTCCCTTTGCAACATGGGTCACGTGTGGATACATGTAGAAAAAAGTACAGAAAAGAAGAACGTAAATAGGGATGCATGTCATGGATACAGATAGGGGGGTGAAAATAATGTCTGATCACGGCTTTAGGAATAGCAATTGGGTGCTGGGCACAACATTCTACCCTGGGTCGCCATGAGTTCCTAGGCTGAGAACAGAGCTTGCAATAAGCCTGTAAAGTGGGAACATCATTCCAGATTACTGCAGGACGCCCAAACACTTTGTACACTGCTGGCTAGAGTCCACTAATGGCTTGTAGCGCTTAAACGAAATACATTTTGAATGTAATATTCAGTCACTAGCTCTATTTCCATGTTTCACTATTGTTTTTGCCTCGTATGTGGTTACCTACAGAGTTCATAAAGACTGTTGGAACCCCATGGAAAAAGCAAGGGAGACTATTAGGGTCTCCCTTTCTTTAATGTGACAAATTTTGTAACACATTTTATTGATTTAGGGTTTTTGATAAAAATATAACTGAACAACAAACAACTTAATGGGAATGTGTAAAATACATGTTATATATATAATGAATTGTCACAGACAAATTAGAAATGTATGAATTTCCTATACAATAACCCATCAACCCCCATGTTCTAACTGACTTTTAACAGAACGACATGTATTACAAATAGACAATGGCCACATGGCCGCCATGGACAAAGCAAGTGGGAAAACATGTTGAGCCTGGATGGGTAAGCAAAGCATTGTAGGCAAGAATGTATTGAGGGAAGAAAGCCCAAATTGATGATTTACCACACTCATGAAACCATGAGAATAAATGGGGTACAGAGAAACCTACTGATCAAATCCAGGCAAATCTAGAATACAGCAGATCCTGTCATGGGATACAACATTTACTGAACAAATTGCATTGCAGTTATATGATGTATTGACCCAAGTGTTCATGTGATTAATATTCACTGATTTGACTGACTACACATCAGGTGAACGAAAAGTAATATTTACCGTGGATAGATACAGCAGTTGATGGGGGAATTCTTCCTGGATTTAGAGTTGATACTCTTACAAGAGATGTCAGACACAGCAGAGAGATGGACATAAATGCTGAAAGCAAAAAAAGGTTGAAGTAACGGGTCTGTAGCTCACTTATTTCAATCAATTATTGATGTAACAATTGTTTGCTTGCTAATAGCAATGACATTTCTTCAAATAATTTGTCAATGTCAGTGATAAAAAGTTAAACAAAACAAAAGTGTTTTAAAAAATCTGCACATGTGCCAAAGAACTACCACTGGAGGTCATGTTAACATGGACAATGTACAAGTAAAATTGATCTTGTGCACTATGCACAATGACAATAGCTTCACTCCAAAAAAAAAGTCTTGAGGGAAAAATACATTTGGTTTGCTGAAACTTTTGAAATGAAAGGTTACAATGCATGATTGTTTACAACTTAATGTGTATATTCCCTCAGGCTAGGCCAATTTGATTGGTTGTAGATGACAACCAGTGAGTCCAGCACGTGAAGAAGTAAAGATGATAATATACCACTGGAAGGCAGAATGAATATGAAGAATAATTTACAGACAAAATGTTGTATGTTCAGATGAAACTTCAAAGAATATCCCTTTATAATCATATAACATAGCCATACAGAAAGAGTCACACTCGATCAGTTTAACATCAAAAAGTACCCTTGGTACAATAAATGTATGAGTTGTACCCAGATTGTTGTTGTTATATTGTTTGTTACCCACATATACCTATGTGTACCCAATAAATTGTTCTCATTTAGCAGGACAAGATGTTTACAACATCAAGCCACTTTACGGCTGTAGGGGAAATAACTATTTTCACAAAGTCAGTGTTGGATTCTCAAGTCCTTTTCTAATGAAATCGGCTCAGAATACGTTTGTATACTGTTTAAATATACAAATTATTCTTGGGGAATTATAGCGGGAGCGGCCATGTTGTTGAATGCCGTAATTTGATAGTGGACACATTTACAACAGAGACCATTGAGAGATTTCCCAAATAAGGGTAGACTTAGATATGGTCTGGGTACAAAATGATATGACAATAAAATTCAGGGCACACTCGGGGCACTTTGTACCCTGGGTAAACCAATTGAGAGTGACATTATCAACTTTAGTGATAGGCTTCAGTTTATAATACTTAAAATCAAATCATCCGGCATCTAAAATGAGCACATTGTGCCTTTATTACTTCAGCCATAATCTTTTATAGAAATGAGTGTTTTTTGGTATGAGAAACTGGAAGTCAATGAAGTATAGGTATTCCATAGGTTTTCAAATTTTGATGCACAAATTACGTCAAAATATATTTCAAAGAGTAGTCTGCAGTAGTCAATGGAAGTCACCAGTTTGAAACTAGTGCCGTAAAGCTGCTTTTGGATTCGCTAATGATGACTTGTAAGTCATTTCATTGGTCAATCAAAGTTTCCGTTTGGATGTGACCTGTAATGGGATGTCCCCATATAACACTTATACTTTTAGCTCAGTTTGAGGTGCTCTGAAGACGGGTACCTGTGAACTTAAGACTTCTTTTTTACAATATACAAATACACTGGATCGCCAACATCAATACTAGGTTTAGGCAACACCTTATAAAGAGGGGCCTTTGAAATTTCACTGTATGGATGATTTGTACATTATTGGTGGTCAAGGATGAGATTTAAATTGATTTAGTGGCATTTATTCATTGCTATGCTGATCCAGCTGTAGCAGCATTTCTTGAAAAAATAATCCTTGTGAATGAATTTGACAGCTCAGTTGTGCTGCAGCCACTGATAATGTCAAGGAAGACACAGACTCTGTGGCGGTCAAGCATAAGGAGATCCTCTCTCAGTTCTTATTATATGTATCATTCAGCCACAGGGTTCTTGTTCAGGGTCTTTGTTTGACCATTTTCTATCGAAAGGTCTTTGATGAGAAATAGCCAAGCAAACGTTCCCGGATTTCCCATTGAAACATACCCCTATGCCCCTGAAAGAGGTATACCTTTCGTATGCATTTTGGTCATGTTTAATGTATGTAGAATCAAAATAAATTTGTCGTATTGAATTTCACATGGACGTTAATCTAGTAATTTGGAACAAAATATGCCTCGGAAAACGTTGACTTGTCTGTATATATAAAAGTAGTTGTCCATACATCCTCAGCTGGGAGTGATCTCCCTTGTTGTGACTAAACGTAAACACAAACGCACAATGGTCACAGGAAATAATTAATGAGGTAAATACTGCTCATGCAAGATATATCACACAGTTAACGTTAGTATTGTAGCGATTAAAAATACAAATTATAAAGATTTATCAAAATATACAGTGAATATGCTTCGGGAAACACCGACCCATACATTTCATTGATAGCAGCGTGCCACTTGCCATGTGTATCTGTATTAAATAGTAGGATAAATTGAATATTTTGGCTAAATGATCGTAATGACGACAAACGTTGTGTAATATATATTTTTTCTGATTTAATGAGACCAAAAACGAAAGTGCTAGTGGTATGAATTAGGCCTAAACACGGCATACACCGTGCCGCGCTGCCAAAGGTTAATACTGCTTTCCTCCTCGCTAATAATGATTACAAAGGCATCTGTCAGTTTAAACGTTCTAATAGCAGAAAGCACAAAGAAAGCAAGTTGAATATTTTCTGTAAGAAAAACTCAAGCACAGACTTATGATTTATTTACAGATTAATTATGAAACCTGGCCATTCAAGTGACCCCAGCCCTCTTAAGCTGGCACCAGTAAGAAAAAAACTCAAGTTCTCTTTTAATGATGTACACGAACAGTGTCTGATTTGTGGGCGACAGGACGGGGACATCACATTAGGAACAATCCATGGTGCAAAAAGTGTAGTCTCAGCTCCACACAGTCGTCAAGATGAAGTATTGTGTCGCATCATAAACGTCAAGCATGATGATTCACTGACATTATCCTACCATAGATCTTGTTTCAAATCCTATACCAGTAAGCAAAATGTCAAATATGCAACACAGGCAATACTCCCAAAAACTGTTTCTCAGGCCACTGTAAGTACAAACGCGCAGTCCACTAGATCTGTCAAATCAATAAAGTGGTCATCTTGTTTAATCTGTGGCTTCAAAAAATATCGTGGTAACAACAAACTACACACAATTCAGTCTTTTGAACGAGCTGGTGACCTAAATGCAGCAGCAATAGCAGTGGGGGACATGGATGTAATTGGGAGGATAAAAGGTGAAGATTTAATTGCCAAAGAAGGTTTATATCATGAGACTTGTATGAAACGATTTCTGAGAGCAGCCAATCAAGTACAACATATGAATGACAATGACGATGATGACACGATTTCTGAGAAATCTGTGTATGATGAGGCATTTGCAAAACTAGTGGAGGAGATAGAAATCGATCTTTTCACAGAAGGAAAAGCTCTCTCAATGGCAAAAATCACAGCAAGATATAATGAACTCATAACAAATCAGTCCTCAAACAACAGCAACTACAAAAGTGAGTAATTTAAAACGAGGATTGCTGACAAGGGGTCACCAAACATGTTACTCAGCAGTTCCATAATTCTGGCTGCTGCAATCCACGCAGCGCACATACTCAACTACTGCACGTGATGAACAAGATGTTGCAAGAATGTACACACATCTGACAAACAACATGACAAACCCATTTGATGTAGAGAGCCATCCTGATGTCCTAATCAACATATCTGCTGGTGTCCATGCTCCTAAAGACATAGAAGAATCACTTACAAACATTGCTGCGACAGGACATCGTCAGATGGTGTCATTTATGAGCAACAGTCTTTCGTATGAAGGTGGCAAATCATTCTTCAGCCCCATTCCAAGATCGAAACTGAAAACTTTCTCTGACCTTCAAAAGGGAAGTAAAATTAAAACTACAGATGGAACAACCAAGGTGTTGCAGATGAAACCAGAAGTAGTTTTCAGAAGAGCATTGATCCTTACTGAGAGCAGGGATGATGTATCTCTTGAGAGTGTTATGTCACATCCTATTGGACCACTTCCAACTTCTCTCTTCAACATCGATGGGACCAAGCGAAAAACAGCTAAATCAGATCTGACTCAGAAACTAGAGGAGGAACAAGTGCAAAAGTGAACATGGCTCTCTAATACCCCCGACCCGCCTAGTGTGTCAGTAGTTACAAATTAAATAGCTAGGATAGGCTTAGCCTTAGGGTTTGAAAAATTCATAAAAAAATGGAAAATTAATAAAAACATTTTTTTTCTTTTGACTGCACCCCTCCATATGACACTGATTATATGTAATAAGTTTGAGATGAATCCCCTGAATAGTTCAAGAGAAATCGGACGGACAAAGTTTTTCGGACGGACGGACAGAAAGATGGACAGATGGACGGAATCTTGGTATAACTATATACCCCCGACATTTTGTCGGGGGTATAATAATTAGATGTTGCCTACCTATACTGATCTTCCTGTATTTGACAAGCAGTCTTCTGTATATATCTCAGATGGAATGGCCGTGATACAGTCAATGAAACCACACACAGGCGATACATTTGAAACACTGAGCTACCGGTATTGGAGTCAGTTGAGGAAAGGCTTCCAAAAGGCAGATATACTTTTTGATGTCTTCGACAGATATGACGTCAAAGATTCAACAAAATCAGCAGAACGATTCAGACGAGAGTCAAAACATGACAGTCGCTGAGAATACCAGGTGATAGGCGGAAGAATGATTCCTCCCTGGTCAAAGTTTCTGAATGTTGGCACAAACAAGACGTCTTTGATAAACTACATCAGCACTACAATGGAAACACAAATGCCACCTCATCTCGATGAATCCCAGTCTGTGTATCTGGTAGATGGATATCAAAATGGAGTAGTTGCCAAATGTGTAACTTCAGAAGGAACTAACATAATTGCTGAATTGGAAAGCAGCCATGAGGAAGCGGGCACGCGAATGATCCTGCAATCTGTATATGCTGACAAGCAGTTTGAACAAAACATGGTACAAGGGAGGATTGTAATTCGTTCACCAGACACAGATGTCCTCGTTCTGTGCATACATTACTTTTCAAGCCTCACCAACGTTTGTG